AAAACAATATACTTAACAAAGGGTTTCTTTAGGAATGTCTTTATGGATATAAAGCTTGTACATGCCTCTATTATTGGTAAAAAAATCAGCTCATTTGCTTCAGCCATAATGGAGATATTCAATTTTTTTTCGGTAAAGTGACTTATGCGCCACCCTGTAGGAAGAAGGGGATTCTATTTCAGAGATTCAAGTCAGCTACTTGAACAATAGATGCTAGTATAACGCTGGTACTAATTACTGATTCAATTATAGTTAATAATTTAATTAAATATCAATTTGAGTTTATTATGAAAAAAATTGGATATTAGTCGATTCTAACATTAAATTTTTTTATTATTTTAAAAAAAATATTTATTGCGAAATTTAGTATTTGTTCATATGCATAAGTTATCTATTTCGACTGTGATCTATAAGTAATAGAATTAATTGAAATACATGATACTTTAGGTTTGAAAAATATTTTCGAGATATGTATCTAAATTTCCTGATGAATAATGTGAACAACTAATCTCTTTGTTTTTTTGGTAATTTTCAAATTAAGAATCTCAATCAATGAATTCTTTATCATTAAATAATAAGAAAAATAAAATACCAATAACTTGCGTTTGCCAAATAGCATCTGCAATACCCCAAAATCCAGCAATAACAAATAATACAGCCATTTGATTATCTTTTGGATTCCAAAGAAACATTAAAATAATCATTGCATAATTAATTAAAGCAGCAACAATAAAAACAAATATTCGACCTGTATATTTAACAAGACGACCACAGGCATAACTACTTATTGCTTGACATATTCCATTACATACCATAATAAGTCCAACATAACTATAGAAAATAGACAAATTTTTACGTTTTATTATTCTTTTTTAAACAAAAAGAAAATCTTTTACCGAATACCAATAAGACAAGTAATAAAACCCTAATGAAAATAAAAGAAGATTAGATTTTAAATAAAGAAATAAAATATGGTTTTACTCGAGTAAATTGCGCTGTTAAAAAAGCAGTTTCAATTGTTGTCCACATTGTAAGTGGAATAAGAAATAATTGATCAAGATATTTCCATTTTTTGAATGATACAACTACTTCAAGACTTTTTTTAAGTAATTGTTTCATAGTTTCTAAAGAGAACTTTTTCATTTTAATGAATAATAAAATTTATTCTTACGTTTTTGAGTTAATTGAACAGAATCAAGTGTTATGAATAAAAGTAACATTGATAAAACGCCCATGCCAGCAAATGTTCCACAAAGAATATAACGCTTTTAAAAAAAGAAGCAAAGAAAGTAGAATTTATTTTATAAATGAAAAAAAAAAAAAAAAAAATTTTTTTTTACCGTTGTATTATTCACATCTTCAGTTGTATTTGTTGGTGAAGCTTTGTTAGGATCAAAATGAATTCCACAATTAATTACTTGCGGATTACTTAATCGATTAAGTACAAAATACGATATTAAATTGCCCCAAATTGTATTTGTACCAAATATTGCAAAAAATATACCAAAAAATAGACTAACTGATACTTCATGAGTTTGTTTTTTATGTTCAGAATGATAACGAGCGATTTGATTAAGATATGTAGCTTTCGCTGTCCATAATGGTGCAGCAGCAAGACCAACAAGAGCTGCACCTAGAAGATAAATTATTAGATCGATATTTCTAAAAAAAAACAAAAAAAGATATTCTGATAACACTTAGCTCAACCTAGCGAAAAAAGTTATTGCCATCTAACCTATGATTGTTGCATTACACTGCTTGTGAGTAATACACGCGCAGAGTAATAGGTATGATAAAAAAAGTATAGAATTCTAGGATATGTTACAATAGGATATTTAATTATACTTTTTTTTAGATACATGGAACTCAATTCTTGTACGAATGATTATCTATTACACTAATAAATTTTGAATGTTTAAAGTTTTTTTCTTTTTTTTTTTTGATAAGAGATATTATATACGAAAAGATAATAAATGTCATAAAAATTTTGAACAATTTATATTGATAGAATGTTAGTTAGTTATAAATAACTGATCTTTGTTTTTTTTGATTTACTTTTCAAATAAAAAATAACAAAATGTAAAAATTTCTATTCGTATTCATAGACTATAAATTCTACTTTTCAATCTAAAAGAAAATTCTTAAATCATAAGTTTGTTAAACATTAAATAGTCAACGCTGTTAAAAATAATGTTTGCAGTCAATTGTGGTTGACTATCATTTTGATATGAGTATGGCAGTTCTGGTCTCGAGTTTTGAAAACTGGTACGAAATGTCATATTGTCATGACTCATGTGTTCTGAATAGATATTGGCAAGATGGTACCGATCTTGGTGGAAGCGGACCAAAAATGAATGGTTCCACTCATGTCTACTATTGTCATATATATACGATCGGAATGATATTCAAATGTACTTAGGTCTACTAGTCAAAATCCAGTCTTGAGTGTGAAGAGTGCTCATATCTAAATAATCTTGATATTTAACTCATTTCACTCTCTTACGACCAGAAAAAAAAACGTGCATTTTTTCGATTCATTTTTTCATCAGCTAATACGCTGTGTGTTCAAAATATAAAGGGTGTTCCAGAAGTTCTGTAACGGTTTGTATAATAAATTTTTCTTTAGTAAATCGCGCGGTTGAAAATTTGACTCTATAAAGAAAAGATGCAGTAAAAGACGCTCTACAAAATGGCTTTTGATGGACCCCGCTAGCTCATCTA